CTCTTTCCAGCTTCTGTTCTCAACACTGCTAGTGGCCTTAATGGGCGTAGTTTGGTTCTCCGGTCTTTCTGAGCAGGCCACACAACTGCTTGGCTGGCGGAGGAATTTGCCAGAAGGCTCCTCAGTGCCTGGTTGGCACTGCATCCACCTTTGTGCTCTGGACACCAGACCTGTGCAGAGGTATCTAAGCCAAGCCTTTTGTGAGCATTTTTCTGAATGATTTTGTTTATGAATGAAAGGCTTAAACAGGTTTTTAACTCCACCTAAACTCTTGTCTCTGTAGGAGGGGATTTTACGTTCTAAAGTTGTGTGTTAAAAACAGGAGCTTTGGAGTGAGACAGACCTAGGTTGAAATCTTTTTCTCTACCACTTCTTAGGCATCAGGATCTTCTCTCAGCTTCAGTTTCCTTATCTCTTAAACTGAGCCACCATAGTTCCTACCTCGTAGGGTTGTTGGGTGTAATGAGGCGGTGGGTGTAAAACACTTGGTCCATTTTGGGACACGATGAGTGGAAAGCAGCATAGGAGTGCTGACAGTCGCCTAAGTTGTCACGTAGGAAGCGTCCTACCTAGATAGGGCATGCCTCGCACATACGAAACGCTTGACAGGTGACTGCTGTTATGATAATAAGAGAAATAAGAAGGTCCGTTGTGCTGAGGGAACTTGGTCTGAGAGCTGAAGTAAGGGGAAAATGTGCCAGCACACCTTCCCTGATCACTGACACCTTTCTCCCTCAAGACCATCCCAAATGCAGGCTCTTAGAATCACTGACTGAGCCAGCTCTGAAAACACCAAGGGGAGACTGTCGTAGTAAGGAAAGACTTTGGGCAGTAAAAGGGCTACAAAAGTTTGGATTGAGCGCCGGTTCTACTGCTCAACAGCTCTGCGATGTGGGCTAAGTTGCTCCATCTCTTGGGGCCTCCTCCCTTCTTAAAATGGCAAATCCATCCTCACAAGATGAGGTGATTAGGAAAGTGATAGGTGGAGTGCGCTACAGATGTCAACTGCAAGTTTATCCTTATACTCAGCAGGTATGGCTTTGCCCTCCAGGGAGGGCTCTGGTCAGAGGTAGGGGTTCCAGTGGAAGGGATGAGTCAAGCCCTGGTTGAAGCTGGTAACCGAGCAGTCAAACTGCAGCCTGGGCAGCCAGAGAGCTGAGGCGTGGCTTCTAGGATGAAGGGTGAGGACCCACCAGGCTGGGGCCCACATCACTTACTATTCCACTAAGTGCCTAGGAGGATCTGCTGCTGCTTCAACCCAGAACTCTGTGAACTGAGCCATTTCTATTCATGGCCATAGAAAGGGCCCCCACTGTCTTCCAGTGAGGTTGCTGCTATTGGTTCCCCAGGAAGGTATACACCTTCTCTAATGGGAGACGAGAGAGGAATTCAAACCCTCTCTCATGAAAGGGCACCCCCTCATTTCCCTGTGGGCCGTCCTGAGGCCTACTAGGAGAGCTGAGCCAGTGCCAAAGCTGGAGGGAGGGTGGAGGAGCTTGTGGGAAATGTCAGCCTTGCTTCCTGGCAAGGGACCCTGTAATTACAGCGGTCATTACACGCTGGTGTGTCAGGAGCTCTTGCAGAGAGTACTGTGCTATTGGCTTGACCTGCGGTCACACTCTGTTCCACCAGTTTATTATGTAAAAAGGGACTCTGGTTTCCGAATCTTTCTGCCTCCTTGACCACACGGCTTTGCAGCTGTCATGGGCCACCTCGTTGATGATCATCCTTTTGAGGAAGTTGTTGTCACCTTGGGTCCTACTAGGGGAGGGAGGAAAGCAGTGTTAAAAAGGTCGTAACTGGTCCCAGAGATTATCTTAGCCGATGACACATGAGCATACAATCTCCCTGGCTTTTCTTGTCATGTTTCACAAGGAGTGGCTTGGATGGTGGGGTTTCCCCTAAATCCTCCCTTCCCCCCATCTTCTGGTTGCTCTGCTTTGTCTACTGAAAGCACAGGAAGAAGGCGATAGGCATGCTGAAGAAAGCTGGATTTGAGATGGCTACTGGCTCCTCACAGGATGTGCATATGATGATTTTTTTTTTCCAAGTCAAAAACTGAGATACAGGCCCACCATTGGATTTTTGTCGAAAGGACTTAACAGGCAGGGGAAACAGAAGCAGCAGAGGGAGAGGCTGGGCCTGAGAAATCCGGTATTTTCATTCTAGATCAAACTCCTTTTCGTTGGCTTTATCATCCATCCCCACTTTACTCGTCACACAGACGCCGGCTCACCTTACCTGTGCAGTGGAGGAGGGAATCACAGTCTCACCTCTCATTTGACAGGTATAGGCAAGTCTCCATGCCCACAGAGCATGGAAGAACCCAGAAAAGAGCCTGGGTCTGGTTTCTTGGACCGCTCGTTAGTCCATGGATCTTTCTGTCAGAGCTGCCAGTTTTTCTTGTTGATTAGATAAAGTACACTGTTTTTCCTATTATGAAGTAGAGCGTGACAATGTGATGTGTACTCAATACTAAAAATACAGAGGAAAAGTGGGGGAGGAAGAAAACACACCCATGACAAATACAGCATTGTGATGTATTTTTGCCAGATTTCCCTATACATAGTTATGGTTATACTATATGCCCCAGAACTTTGTAGCTGACTTTTTCACACTTAACCTAGGAAGTGCTTTTGCCATAATGTTGTTTAAAATGCCGCATAGCCTTCTCATTTCCTCTGTAAATATCATTGAATGGATGGATCATTTGCTTAAATCTCTTATTTTTGGATATATGGATTGTTGCCTCATAATTTAAACGTACTTCAGTGACCATCTTTATTCAAAGTCCTTTTCATATTTAGGATTATCAGTTAACCTGCGTTTCCACAAGTGGAATTATAGGGTCTTCAGGTCAAAACACATCTGAAGCTCTGAAAACACATGGCCAAGTTGTTCTCCAGAAGGCTGTGTTGCCCTCCTCTGGCGGGCTTTTTGTCCTCTCCGTGGCACCCGCACCCAGCCCCAAGCAGCGTTGGTGGTTAAATAGCTGAGGACTATGGCCTGTTTAAATCTGACACATTCATCATTGGTGGAGACGAATGGCTGAGAGAGGAGGGACTCATAGAGTATGTCCGTTCCTACTGTGGGCCAGGTACTTTTTAGTTATTATTTCTCTCGACCCTCAAAAAGGAGCCCTCTCTCTCAGAAGAGGAAACTGAGGCTGACAGATAAGTAAATCGTCCAGTATCACCATACCCCACTGCTTCACGAGGACTAGCGAGACATCTCCCCAGGACCTGAGGACAATGGGCCCTTGTCATCAGACTGCACATGTGGCAAGTGCTGGGCTGGGAGGGCACACCTCTCATGCTGCAGAGCCTCCAGAACATTGAAGCCAATGGGGTGGGGGGTGAGGGAAGCACACAGTGAAAGACTTGTCTGATTCAGTCATTCAGAGTGCGAGCGGGCCCTTTGAAGCTCTTAGATGATTTACATGGAGCGCAAATGGAGCGTTGCTGTCCTGGATGCCGCCCTGCCTAGGATAAGGCCTAGGATAAGGCTGTGCTTAGCTCTGCTCAGGCTCATGCTGGGGAAACCAGTCTGGGGTGCGGGCTGGCCCAAAGCTAACCTCTGTAGGTACTTGTAGTCTAGGCCTCCCCTGGAACAGGACCCTGAGGGGCAGGTGGTTTGTCTCCTCCCGAGGTCCAGCAAACAGAACAGGAAGCCTTTGGAGAGGGACAGTATTCACGGTCAGATTTGTGGCTGGGGCCAGCATGCCTGGGTTCCCCGTCGGGGTCTGCCCCTCAGTCCAGGTGACCTTAGCACATTACTTAACCTGCATCTCAGTTTCCTTGTCCGAAAAGTAAGAATATTGCGTGTCTGGCAGGGTGGTAATAGTAAAGCTAGATTTACTCCAGATAAAGTGTTTAGAAACCTCCCCCATAACATCACAGCCCCTGAGTTTATCCGGGCTGGGTGTTGGCATCTAGTCGGAGGCACCCCAAGCCCACAAAGCCAGTGTCCTCTAATTCCCTGCTTTCTGTCTTCCAGGTTGATCCTCGGGACCTACAGTCTCATGTGTCGCACAGAGGACGGCAGAGGGTACAGGTGGTGGCTTGGCCTGTTGGCGATCTCCCAACAGCTGGATCTCTAGCAATGTGAAGCTTTTGTTTGGGTTTTCCCCTTTAGTTTTGCTTGATTTTTTTTTATTTTTTGTCTTCCTCTTTTTTGTTTTTCTTTTTTATTTCTTTTTTAATTTAAACAATTAAGACTTCAAAAGAGCAGAAGCTATGCTATGGACAGGCACCAATTTCTTTAAAGAAATTCAATATGGACAAAGCATATGTATAAATTTCATTTTTAATTTTTATAAGGGGTTAGGGAGCTATTTTGTTTTTGTCCTTTATTTTCCTTGTCTTTTACCCATTTCTCAGTTCTGCTTATAACACCTCACTTCCCCAGAGAAGGCCTGCCTCTCCATGGAGAATTTGGGGATTTCTCCTGGAACGGGGGCGTGAAGATAGGAAGCCTCTGGGCCACCTCCCCACCAGATGCAGGAACTGCTAGACTGTCTGGTGGGCTGTTCCTGGCCAGCCCTTGGGCCTTGAAAATGATCTTTAGTGAAGAATCACCTGGAAGAGGAAGACCAGGGTTTGGCCAGGGGAACTCAAGAAAGAAGCTCTGAACTGTGGGTGTGTTCTCTTTAAGTTTTTGGAAGGCCCAGGCCACACCAGGACTTAACAGTGGTGGGAATCCATTTTCTCTACTGCCCTTTACAACCAGGAGCTCTGAGAGGGGGAGAGACAGAAGGTGACCATCTCCCACTTCCTGGGGGTTTCAGGCCAGCCCACCCCAGCTTTTATAGGCCTACCTTCCTGTTAGTGATCTCCGTCCCAGAGGAAGATCCCCAGGAAAAAATGTTGTGCCAAACCTCTGCCTGGGACAAAGCTGGGTCTTCAGCGGGCATCTTTCACTCCTGTGAGCTCAGCCCCCATCACCCACTCTCTCCTGCATCGTTGTCTTCCCAGATATGCCCACCAAACATCTAGATTGTCACAGAGACTGTCCAAGTCCCTGAGATCCATTTGTGACCATTGCCATAAGAACAGAGTGTCCTGGACTGGCTGCCGCTGTCACTTCCTCACAGGGAACGGTGTGCCCTATGCGCCAGGTCCTATGGTGTTACTTAACAGCGACAATGTCAAGTGCTGTCTCTCTCATCCCAGGGATAGACTGTTAGGTACCCACCTTCATTGTAAATGTGTCTGAAAAGGGAAAGGACGGACCTGCCGAGAGTAGGGAGGTGACTGGGCAGACGTGGTCTTTAGATGCCCGATTGTGGGCTTGCCACCTTAGAGCTTCCCCAGCCTTGAGCCCTTGGACCCCACCACCGGTGTCCGTCAGTGTAGCCGTTCGTCCACTCTCCGACGACACTTGCTGCCTCCCTCCTCGCCGGCCTCTGAACCTGGCATTTGCTCCCTATACAAGGAGAGGGGAACCCTTCCTGTGCTGTCTCCCTCACCTGGACACTACTTCGACTGCTCCAAAGGCTTTTCACCCCATGACAACCAAGCAGGAAAGGGTCTTTGGGAAGGGGGAAGGAATTATTTTGTGTTTATTTTTGTTTTTTGTTTTCTCTAAACCAGCATAGGATCAATAGGGGAGATAACTGGAGGGCATTGAAGTTAGCATATGACCAAGAGGGGTTTCCCCCCGCTCCCTCCCAGCAGCGGTCCTGATCTTGCAGCCCTGAGACTTTGGGAGAAGCCAGCACAACATCAGCCCAAACTTGGCAAAACATTTGCTCACATTCTTTCAGCCTGTTCTCAAAGCCCCTCAAATACCAAGGCTTCTTCCTCTCCGCAGACGGTTGGCTGTGGTTAGCAGGACCCAGCAGGGCTGCAGGTAGTAACCAGGCCCTTCCCTTCCTTGGCTGAAATCCTTTGTGATCACCTGTCTTGTCTCTTCTGATTTCTCAGGCGGCCTCCTGTGTGTACTGAGCTGCAGTTGGGCGGGTTGGGAGACAGCATCTCCTAATGGCAGTGCCCATTCTTCTGCCCCACCACCCTGCCTTCCCCTGGGGAAGCTCTCTCTCTCTACATGAGCACATGGGGAAAACAGTCCCCACACTCAGCACCTCCAGCACTCCCTGGCTGCAGCTCATGCTCTCATGTCCCTCGTGAGGGCTCAAGCCTAACAACTTATTACCATTTGCTCATCTTTTTCTTCTGCCTTCCCCAGGTCTCTCAGCTCTGTCTGAACAAGGTCTTGGAGCTGCAGTGCTCCCCCTTTGTTATTTTTCCTGGCACCAGAGTATCCCTTGTAGATCACAGGATGTCCATACCTTTGGGGTGAGGTGGGCAGCATGGAAGAGGGGAGCCAGCTTTCACGTGCCCTTATCCTGCAGGACTCCCAGCCTGTCCTGGCTTGGTGGTGGGACCTCCTTTCCTAGCTCATGAGGGCCAGCTCGTTAGCCCCAAGTGCCTGTCTCTCACTCTTCCCCTCCCTTCCCTGCTTTCCGCTTTGTCCACCCTAATACTGGCTCTGCCCCGTCTGGACTAGCCTTGGGGTCAGGCCTGGACTAGCTCTTGTCATTCTTTCTCAGCCACTTGCCACCTCCTCCCACCGTGTTCAGCTTCCTCACCTCTTTTGCCTTTTCACCCTCCACCTGGGTCTCAGGCCCGGCAGCAGCTCTGTGGTACATCATCTCAGCACCACCAAGTTTGTTAGGCCTGTCCACGTTCTAGAAGTTTCCAAACCTTAAAAAAGCAGTTATTCTCTTCTCCTTGGGTCTGTGAAAAGGGTAGCCTGTTGGAGGGAGGGTCTGGGCCTCAGCCCTGTGGGTCTGAGCTTGGTTTCCCCCTCAGTGAGAGAAGAATCAGCAAGACAGATCATAGTGCCTTATTCCATTGCCTTCCCCTGACCAGACCTCCTGGCTCCCTTGAAGTATGGCTCTTCTTTTCTCCCTCTCTGTCTGTCACTTAAACTCTCACTCCCGTTCACAGATAGCTCCCTGAGAATGATTACCCTCCCATCACCCCCTCCCTCCATCCCTTTCTGAGAGCTGCAGCCAGGAACGTGTCTCCCCATCCCACCACCAGGGCACTCACTAGCAGCTTTAGCCGAGGACAGAAAAACTACTTCAGAGAGGTGCAGTCTGCCTCTTAACTACCCAGCAGGTCCCTGCCTCTTACCTCTAGCTGGGGGGATGTCACAGTCTGTTCACTCAAGACTGGCTCTGACCCCTTCTGGGCACCAGGGACTAAGGTTGCAGGCCTCAGCCTCTTCTCATCCCAGAGGCACTGGGACAGGAGGATGGGAAATCCGTCCTCCCACCCGGATGTGGTTTGCCCCTCGCGGCTGCCTTTCCGAGGGAGTGTATTAAATGTTTACTTGAGAAATAACCTGTTTACAGCCAGAGGAGAAACGTGCCCAACAGTAGGTGGAGAATAACTCTGGAAGGCCTAGCCTCCTTTATGGCACTGCCAGTGGTGGCCCCAGAGTGAATGAAGGCAGAGATGCCAGGGGCAGGGGTGCACACCCTGCACTTCCTCTGCTCCCTGACCCTGCGGTGCTAAGACCACTCGCCACCTTCCTCACAGCCTTTGGGCCCCTGGACATTCCCTGCCTCGCATTCCCTTCAAGATTCTCAGCTCCTTAACATATCAGTTGTCTCCTAGAGAACCAGTGTTCGGAGCAATAACATTATTTTTGCTTGAGTCTTTTTCTAAGGAAAGGAAAAGAGCTAGCATTGTGAGACTCTTTTATGCTGTTGGCTGTTTACCTTCTTAGAAGACAGATCTTAATAGGATGGGTATCTGGGTTTCAGCCTCACAGTATCTTTCGGAAACTTGGAGAATCAGGAGTCAGGCTTCCACCCGCTAAGGAGAGGACCCTAACTCTTCCGTGGCCTTGCTCCATGCCGCCTGGGCTTCCGGTCCTGCCCACCAAGTGCACCTCCCCATCCAGGGCACATGGGGCTCTTGGATTGTCATCCCCCATGACTCCTTTTCCTTTCTTGTCTGGTGGCCCCAGACAGACACAGCTGCTGGAGTCTCCTAGGAACTGGCAGCTTGACAACAGCCAAGCTTGAACTCTTCAGCTCTTCAGGCCGAGGGGCTTGGGGCTGAGGTCCAGAGACACTACCTCGGCCATCCTCCCACACTAGGCTGAGGCACAGCCTTCAGGACAACACAGGTCCATCTCTGATCCTGCCCACCTAGGCTTGGAGGGCAGGGGCTCCTGTTTGGAGAGAGGCCCTCTGAGAGAAACTGGGAGGTGTCCCCTCTTTTAAGGTTGACTAAACATCCACAGCCATTGTTTGCCCAGAGCCCCACTAAGATTGCAAGGGGCAACAGAAGGAAGACACCCACATCTTTTTCCATGAGAGACCACAGGACTTGGAAGGGAGTTTATTTAGGGACATTTTAAAGACATCTTTTGTGCCCCAGGGGCTCTTCCCTCAGAGCAGGGGAGTACATTGTGACGATTCAACAGTCGTGTGGGGCTGACTTGGGTGTGAGAGGTTTTAACCCAGGCACAAAGTTCGTTTCAAATACAAGTTCATCTATTTTTCTTTATTTTCTTTTTTTGCACAGAAGCTGGTAATCTAGGACCTACGTGTGAACAACTTTATATGAATATTTTTTGTACTTGGTTTACTTGGGTTGGTATGATACATTATATTTAAGTTCCTTGAACACTGTGGATCCCCCTAATGTGTATGAATGACTGAGGCTTTGTAAATTAAGGGACGTTTGTGTGAATAAAGTTATTTGATGGGGTCAAAGAAGCCATATGTGATTTGAAAATGAGTGTTTGTGGTTTTGTCACCTGTTTGGAAGGGAGGAGAAGCCAACCCATGCCACAGCTCCCCGGTCTGCTGGCCTTCGACTAGTCTTTCCACCCCACACCTGGGAGCAGGCACTCAGAAGCGAGGAGCCTGCACTTGGGGGAGCAGGAGCCCACACCTCATCTGGCCTGCCCTTTGCAGGGATCCAGGACCTCAGCCAACATGGCAGTCTCCTCCTCCAGACATCTCAAAGGCCCTTTTCAGCCCCAGCCCTGTGCTTCTACAAGTTCTTGTTAATGTAGACATCAGAAGGGTCTCCAAACCATAGCAGCAAGGGGGAGGGTGTGCTCTCAGAGGAGCTGGGTGGAACAACTCTGGGCTGAGAGTGTAGCATCCATGTCTGAAGAGCAGAGGTCGCTAAGCCAGGCCATAGTGGTGGGTCTGGGGGTGAAAGAAAGTGCATATAACTCATCTCCCTCTGGTCAACAAAAGCCACATTTCCTGAGGAATGAGGACTAGCACTTAACTAAAAGGCGGGCACTTCTGTTACTTCCACAGGCCTGTGTGGTAGGTGTGGTATGAGCCCCTCTGCTGATGAGAAAAACCCAAAGAAATCCAGGGCACTGGGTGAATGGTGCTCTGGGAAGAATGGGAACTTTTGCCACTTGCCACTGGGCAGGTGATTTAGCCTTCACTGCACATCCCCCTCTTCATGTAAAATAGAAGAGCAGCTGAAGGTTAAATGAGAAAGAACCTAGTATTTGGCCCAGCACTTAAGACTCTCAATAAATGGTTCTGTAGTTCTTTTTCCCAAGCAGACAGGTTTGAGAGTCTTCCAGAGTCTGATAAACGCTGGCACCACACAGCCTCAGAAAAGCTCATCAATCTAGTGATGTTTGCTGTGGGACTCACCACTCCCACCTATTCTGAGAAGACCTGGTAAACCAGGAATCTTAAAATGCAGGAGGATGAGCCAGGACTTTGGAATGTTAGAAGAAAAGATAAGACAGGCTTCCTGCCTAATTGAGAGCGAACAAGCTGCATTCCAGGCCCAGGCTTTGGTGTCCAGCGCCTGCTGGGGATGAAGCTTCTTGCAAAGGATATTTCTGTGCTTAGCCTAGACGGAAGCCTGGAGCTTGGAGAACACAACCCACAAGTTTGTTTTTCTAACAACTTTGTTGAGATAGTTCACTCTTGAAGCGTTCGTGCCAGTGGTTTTTATTGACTTGTGCAACCAACACCACTAATTCCAGAATATTTTTATCACTTCAAAAAGAAACATATACACATTAGCTGTCATTTCTCATCCCCTCCCAAACATTCATTTCCAGCCCCTGGCAACCACTAATCTATCTTTTGTCTCTATGGATTTGTCTATTCTGGACATTCCATGTAAATGGAGTCATACAGTATGTGGCCTTTTGTATCTAGCTGCTTTCACTTCACAATGTTTCAAGGCTCATCTATGTCGTAGCACATATCGGTACTTCATTCCCTTTTATTGCCATATAGTATTCCTTTGTATGGATAATAGCACATTTATTTTACCCATTCATCAGTTGATGACATATAGGTTGTTTTTACATTTAGACTATTATGAATAATGCTGCTATGAACATTCATATACAAGCTTTTGTATCGACCTATGTTTTAATGCCCTTGGGCAAGTGTATATATATATATATATATAGAGAGAGAGAGAGAGAGAGAGAGAGAGATGGGCAGTACAATTGCTAGGTCACACAGTAACGATAATTTTTTTGAGCAAGTGCTAAATGGTTTTCTAAAGAGACTGCACTGTTTTACATTCCCACTAGGACTATGTGAGGGTTCTACTTTCTCCACATCCTTGCCAACACCTGTTATTGTCTTTTTTACAGTCATCCTAATAGGTGTTAACAGGTGTCTGTCTACAGCATTGTACCACCAATGGCAGATAAGGGGAGAATAGCACATTGGTGCTTTAGATGCTTGATTCAGTCACTGATCCAACAAGTATTGGGTGCCTAGCAGAACTCAGAGGTTGCAGGTGGGCTCTGCTCTTCACTGGCTCTTGGACCTTGAGGCAGATCACCTTTCTGACTTCATTTTCTCATCTGAAAAGTAGTAACTATCCACTTCATAGGATGCTTGGTAGAACTAAAGATTTTTATACAAAATACATGGTGGGCAGTCTTCTTGAGCAGTTCCTTCTCTGTGTCCTAGGCATCCATGCAGTTGATTACGTCAAGGTTCAGAAACCAAGGGGCTTTGAGGATCTCTGCGTCGGGTTTGGGTGTGGGTGATGAGGAACTTGAGATGTGTCACTATAACACAAGGGTCTATTCAGTACCAGATTCTACACAGGTGAGAGAGGTATGTCACCCAGGCCCTGAAGGGAAGGGTCTGGCGTGCCTAAAATAAGCCAGTGTCCACTCCTGTGGAAGGAGAAGCTACACGTCCAGGCCCTCCCTCACTGCCTTCCCCTCCAGACCTGCTGCCACTGCCTGTCGGGCTCCAGCTTCTGGCTTAGATGTTTGATAAATCCACACTCGCAGCCACCTATTCAGTGCTTGTGAACCAGACAGCCCCTGCCAACGAGGAGCTCCAGGTCCAGAGTGGGAAGGACTCAGAAAAGACATATATCATCATGGCATGCTAGGCCTGAGAGAGAGGGAAGCTTCAGGGCATGTAGAGGGAGGGCGTAGCTGAGACTTGCTGGAGAAAGTGAGGCCTGAGAGCCACTCTCAGTCCAGCCTGCTGCCTGACCTGGGCCCCCGGCCTCTCCAGGCCATGCTGTGGCCCTCTTCAGCCTGCAGCCCTGACAGACTGCAGTGGGCCCAGCACCCTCATGCTCTGCTAGCTTTTCAACTTGAAGAGTGGTGGCATGACCCTGCATCCCAGGAGGTGTTTGCCTCATCATATCCTACCACGAGGGTACAAAGGAGGGTCTATGGCATTGAGACCTACACCTTGATTCAGTCCCACGTGCACAACAGATTTCCTTTTAAATAAATCATCAGAACTCCACCGATTTCTACTGCACTTAGGATATTATTACCCAGACCCTCTCCTTGGCCTAAAGGCCCTTCTCCACTGTCCTACTTACTCCTCAGCCTCCACCCTCTAGCCATCTTGCCCTTAATGCTGTCCTTTAAGCAAACACAGGACGTCTCAGAGTCTGCACTGGCTGTACCCTCTTCCTGGAATGCATTACTTCATTGCTTCATATAGGTCTCTGCTTACACACCAGAGAGATCTTTACTGACTCCCTTCTTTAAAGAAACACTTCATTACCATTGCTATTTCTTTAACATGTTTAATTTTTCTTTATAGCACTATCACCAGAAGAATATTTTATATATTGCATACATATACAAGTGTGTGTATATATACAGATGCTCCTTGAGTTTCGATGGGGCTACATCCTGATAAACCCACCATAAGTTTAAAATATCATCAGTCAAAATGCATTTAATACACCTAACCTACCGACCATCATAGTTTAACCCAGCCTACCTTAAATGAGCTCAGAACACTTACGTTAGCCTACAGTTGGTCAAAATCATCTAACACGAAGCCTATTTTATTATAAAATGTTGAATATCATGTAATTTATTTAATACTGTACTGAAAGTGAAAAATAGAATGGTTGTAAGGGTTTTGCTTTCACAGTCAAAAAATCCTAAGTTGAACCATCATAAGTTGGGAGCCAACTGTATATAAATAATCTCCATAGCCTTACACAGGGCCTGACATGGCCCATAGTAGGCATTCGATGCATATTAAGTAGATTGGTGAGAGCACATTATATCATTAGGAACATGGTCCCAGTGGAAGAAACTTGCTCAGGATCCTACAGGGTCAGGGTAGCCCCAGGACATGAACCCTGGACTCCTAAGCCCCAGCCCACCACCCTCTTTGCTTGGCCTGCAACTTCTCTCCATTCCTGAGGTTTACTCAAAGTCCATTTCATTCCTGCCAACCCCTCTCCAGAATGAAAACTGCTACTTGAGAAGGTATCACCTGAGGTGGATGAAGATATTATTAGGGTTTTATTTCATTCACCTGAAACAGAAATTAGCCAACTTTTTCTGTCAAGGGCTAAAAAGTAAATACTCAAGGCTTTGTAGGCCGTGGGCCCCTACCACAGCTATTCAACTCTGCCATTATAACACTTAAGCGGCCAGAGACAAATGAGTATGGCTGTGTGCCAATAAAACTTTATTTATGGACACTGAAATTTGGATTTCATATAATTTTCACAAAAGTCACAAAATGCTATGTCTTTTCAACCATTTAAAAGTGTAAAAACTACACTCCTAGAGCAGTCTAGGGCTTGCTTCTCTGAGTGGGCTCTATGGTAGACAGCATGGCCCATAATTGATGTGTCCAGGCAGGGGTGTGTCCCTGTGTCATGTGTCAGGCCCATAACAGTGAATGAGAGGTTACTGTAGCATGATGGTGATAGGGCAAGAACCAGGCCCGGAAGTTCTACTTCACCTCCAGCTGGCCTCTTGGCCACAGCTCTGGGTGTTTGGGAGGGGGGTACAGTGTAGGGAGATGGATGTCTCCCACCAACCGACATATGTTCATGGATCTAGAAACAGGAAAGTATGAAAAAACAATTGGAATAGGAGTCAAGAAACCTGAATCCAGATCCAGCATGGCTTCCTGCCCGCTGTGTGGGATGTGACAAATTCTCTCCTCTCTGGGCTGAATAGTATGCTGAATAGGATGGAATCAGACAAAAGGGATTGGAATGCTGTTTTACCACTTACAGTCTTGCGACTTTAGCATGTTACACTCTGAGCCTCAGTCTTCTCACCTATAAAATGGCAGTAATAATGTACCCACTTCATACATTTTCCAAGAATTAATCAGACAGTGCATATGTAATCTATAGCACAGTGCCTGGCATGCAATAAATTATCCATAAATGGTATCTATTGATAATATTTTTTAAGAATAAAAGCATCTTTGAGATACTCCTCAGGGGGAAAAAAAAAAGGTTAAAACTTTAAATACTGTTAAGGAATG